TTATTTCTCAACATTTGAATTAATGTGTTTAACAAAGAGGTAAATTAGGTTGGTCGCGTTGCTCTCTTTATAATTTCGGGCATTTTCTTTTTACTGTAATGCGTTAAGTCCTCTACTTATAACCACAACCCAACCTAAAATTTCCACAGCTAAGGAATACTGTTGTTAAGTGAGTTTTGCCCCATTTTATGTGCTTTTTTGTGAGATGTTACGTGAATCGCTGCAGTTGTTAAACTAGTGACACGGTTATTGTGTGAATCCGGCTTCCCTATTGACTTTGATTGTAAGAAGGCTACAAAAGATGATACATGACCCTGGGACACTGCAAACATCATAACTGCATGCCAATTGCCAAGTGTCCAAATTTTGATCATGTGTCCATGGGGAGGCTGCCATGATCATGTGAAAAAGGGTAACAAGTCAAGTTTTTTGAGTGCAGTTATAATTTAGAGTGGTCACTAAACAAATGTAGGCAATTGGGAACGGGCTGTATTATATGACACCCTGAGCCCTTTTTTTCTGCCAGTCCCCTCTTTATCTATTATCAGACATAAGTCCCACTATATCACTTAGAGTGGCTTAATTCCTCAAAACGCCGTGGCACAGAGAAAGGGGTCTTCTCCCCGCTCTTTGCAAAAATGGGATGGAGGTGCGTTTAATTAAAAGCAATCATAATTGTCAGATTAATGAATAATTGGGACACCCGGCTCTGCCAGCCGCTGCAGAGGATGGAATTAAAATTTAATCTCCCCCTGAATTATTGAACCAAATGAAATGCTGATCTCATAACTGCTACGATTGCCAGGCTCAGTGGGAGATTTTGCCTGCAGACGTTGGGACAATGGGTTGTTCTTTGCTGCATTATCTTAAATTCCTAAGGCACCATTCCTTATTCCTCCATTCTGGGCTTTTGCTCTTCGCATATTTGGAGAGATTTGAATTTGGGTATATCCCGTGAGAGCTGCTGCTGCTTAATACAGATTAGTTTGTTTATACTAAAAGCCCCAAGGCTTCTGAGGGCTCCATTCAAATCAGACAGAGAAGGAAGACAACACGCAAACAACCATATGTAACCTATTTATACTTCAGAATGCCAAGGTTTTCACTTCTATCTGGCTAAGGACCTTGGGGAAGGTGTGTGTGTGTGTGTGAATTCAAAAGTTGAATGATAGAACCTAAAACTATTATAAAATTCTTGGGTAAAAAATAACAATTAGTGGTACAACTTTGCCTCCAAAGGAAACTTCATTTTACATATCAGAGGCTGTAAAATGAATAAAGGGTAAAGATTGTGTATTAAATAAAGACTGTGTATTAAAATCAAGCGGGCAAAGGAAATGGCTTTATCCTTCTGAGATTTACCGTCCAGAAAATATCGATCTTATCAAACCTTTACAGGACAGCGTACGCACATTCAAATTTCTACAAATTAGGGCCTTGGCACTCTGTCGTAAATACCTACGTCTCCGATTTTGAAATAATAATATTTGTTTGTACGTCAAGACACCCTTGCGTAATCTGGACCCAGAACGTCTGAACTCAGGTGTGCTATGATGGTTTGTCCAGTGATTCGGATTGTAATTAGTCATGTGAGTTCAGCTAGGGAAGGAACAATACAGAAGTATAACCGGTATATATAGCCCAAAACAATCCACTGAACAAACTATAATAATACATTCAGGCATTTTTTTTAAGCCTTCTGTTATCTCTTCTTAAAGTGTTTTCTGCAAACCACAGTTAAGCTGGACAGCCCATCGGTGTGAAGGATGGCTTGAACAGAGAGCAGGTTAGGATGGAAGTCGAAGCCTGCTAAGGCCTTGTGTGGGGTATTATTGTCCACGTCGATTTGGAAAAACTGGAGATATTTCCCACCTCATCGGGTTTATTGGGAGGCTCAGTGGAAGCATCCTAGCAGTCACTGCATCCCTGCAGCCTAATAAGAGAAGGAAGCTATGGATCAGCCAGGGTCCCCAGCGATACTGGAGGCGTGGAAGAAAGACTTCTCATGCATTTTTCATTCTGCCTTCTAGCAAAGCCTCTCTTTAAAAAAATAGAGCACAAATTGAAAGGACATGCCTCACCCAGGAAGGAGATGTGGTGAGCAGATTTGGAAAACCGACTCCTTTCTCCTTCCTCTAACCTTGGGTTCCTGAAAAGAGGTTGAGGGGAAAAAAAAAACATTTGGGGAAGGACAAGGCTTTCTTTCATCTGCGGCCAAACGTCAAGAGGAAGTCAAAGCTATTGGTTTTCCTGCCTGCCCACAACTCAGCTGAGCTGTCTTCCCAGCCCCAGGGTATCCGAGATGGCTTGCAAGGATGCACTTGGCCGGGACTTGGACTCTGGTGTACGTTACATTTGTGACTCTAAAACAAAAGTTCTCAGGGGAAAAAAAACCCCTTAAAGCAGGGGTCCCTAATCCCCGGTCCGTGGACCAGCAACCGGTCCGCGCAAACAAGCAAAGCCCCTTCCGCGGGATGCAGGCATCACGCAAAACCACACCCCCTCTGGGCCACGGAAAAACCTCTCTCCAACGGAACCGGTCCCTGGTGCCCAAAAGGTTGGGGGCCACTGCCTTATAATAATAATAATAATAAAGTTGGAAGGGACCTTGGAGGTCATCGAGTCCAACCCCCTGCCCAGGCAGGAACCCTACACCATTTCAGACAAATGGCTGTCCAGTCTCTTCTTAAAAACTTCCAGTGTTGGAGCATCCACCACTTCTGGAGGCAGGTTGTTCCACTGGTTAATTGTTCTGTCAGGAAGTTTCTCCTTAGTTCTAGGCTGCATCTCTCCTTGATCAGTTTCCACCCGTTGCTTCTCGTCCTGCCTTCAGGCGCCTTGGAGAATAGCTTGACTCCCTCTTCTTTGGGGCAGCCCCTGAGATATTGGAACACTGCTATCATGTCCCCCCTCGTCCTTCTCTTCATTAAACTAGACATACCCAATTCCAGCAGCCGTTCCTTATATGTTTTAGCCTCCAGTTCCCTAATCATCTTTGTTGCTCTTCTCGGCACTCTTTCTAGAGTCATCCAGGTCCTAGTTGTCTCAAAAGTGGTTGTTCAACTGGCAGCGGGGCTGTTTTTTCCTTCATCCAAGAAGCTTTATCGGTTCAGAACCGGTGAAGCTTCGTGGATGAGAAGCAAAATGTCTTTCTTTTTCTTGCTCAAGGAAAAAACATTCCAGTTAAAAACCACCTTTGATATACCAAGTCAGTGTCAAATCTCCACTCACACTAAAATTCGCATATTGACTGATCTAGTCGCCTGCACGCTAATGCTTTAATTAATTTTGGCGCAGTTGTTCACAAACTGGGTACATTTAGGGGGGAGAAATTTATCTTTTGCTACGAGTTAAGGAGAAAACCGATGGCATTTCTGCATTAAGGCTTTTCCCAGTTCTGCCGGTCCTCAGTGTGGCTAGCTGATTATGCCAAAAGCTATGGGCTCTCCTTGATTCTGCAAGTGGAAAATGCCATTGGGTCTCCCAGCAAAGTGCTGCTGAATTACCAATTTCTTCATTCTTAAAAGTGGTAGGACTTGGCTTTTATTTATTAAACTATCCTTCCCTGATACCACCTTACTTCAGCAAATTCTTCTGCGATTGTAAGTACTTAATACAGACGTCTAAGCTCCCCGAGTATCTGAATAACTGATCTAATTAGGTCAGAGCTATTGATAATTGCACCGCTCTCTCTTTTAATGCTACTTAGCAATCTGGCACACGGGCACAAGCAGTTTGAAAGAACTTTTCAACTGCTAGGGAAGTCGGCAAGGTTTTTTTTTTAAACAAAACTTACGGCTTTATGCTCGGCTTTAAAGCCCTTAGCATCTTGAGTGCGCCGGCTGAATTCACGGCAGGATCATTTAATAATAATGATACTTAAACCTTTATTGTACCGCTTTCGATCTGCGAATGATGAAAGACCTCACATATCTTGATAACCCTACAATTATGGTACGTTTGTTAATATTGTCGCTACTTAACTCATGGAGGTAAGCTGATGGAAATCACAATGGAATCCAGTATTATATATAGCCAGTGCTAGTTAAAGACAGCCCAAGGGCAATTTAACCCAGGGCAATTTAGGTATGAAACTTATCCCTCTTATTCCGGGTCCTAGCTGGAGGTACAGGGGGGGGGGGGAGAACTAGCCAACATAATATGTCACACATCTCCAATGAGAGAACGTGAAATAATGTTTTTCCCCAAAGCCAGGAGAATTCCCTGCTGTCTTGCATTGTTTATATGCCAAAATCAGACAGTTTCCTCTGCTTTTGCATGTTTTTGTCTCCGACACCTGTTTTCCACCGCGAGCCTCAATTTTACATTGATAGAATTGTTTTAAATCATTCCAGGGGGAGAGAGAAGCAACATGGTTGTCAAACTCCCTGCTAACACCTTTTAGGAATTTGTGGAAAGAGGCATGTTTTGGCTAAAAACCGGAAGGATTAAAGGATAGGATCTGGGGATTTCGCTGTCGATCCTTCTCAGCAGAAATTGAGCACCGTTTCAAATCTGAAGGCAAAAAGCAGGAATCTTAGCATTACAGAATGTAATATATTACCTGGAATATATTAAATGCAGTGAAATAATGCCAGATCTGCATTCCAGCTGTGAAATAGTTATAGAAAGCCCTATAAAAAAGTCATGAGCTTCCCACTGTCACAGTTCATTTGATATCTTTCCATTTTTCCCCTGAAGCTTAAAAGTCCAATCACCATAGGAGAAATTAGGATAGTGGTGTGCGGGCCATTTGTGTGCAGATATATGGAGAACAGGGCTCTTCTTATAAAACAGAATCAGCAATATTCAAACGGCTTTCAGAAGCAGTAATGTTTCAGACGAAAGGATCAATCTGTAGAGTCTTTCATACAAGCTCCAGAGATAAACACGGCAGAGTCTGAATTAAAAGCCAGCACCAGAGAGATTTAAATGAAAAAACGTGCAGAAAACAATGGCATTTGACAAAGGACCCTTCTGAGCTTCAACACATTCCTTTAATAAATTAAAATGACTATGACATTCAACCATTTTCCTCAGGCCTGAAACTATACACAGTACATTTACAGTATTTATAAATAAATTATCACTATTATAAGCACATAATTTTACATACAATACTAACTCCCCTTGGAAGGGACAAATATTTTCAGTTGTTCTGGTAACTAATTTTCAAAGGAAACGTGGGCAACAGTCCATCGTTAAAACAAACTAACTTTGCCCCCGTAACAAAGTAGCAGCTAATGCTCCACCTTAATTGATCTCAAAAAGCAAATTACGATCAATCTTGATAGAACTCGCATCGGAGGCCACCAGGAAAACATAGGAAAGTAGTTCAGCAACTCTTTCCTTAATAAGCATGATTGGATCACAACTTCCTCTTGATCTGATCTAAGCATAATTAGATGTGTACCTCAGATTCTCTGCTTTCTGAATGAAAAGCAGATTAAGCCCTAAGGTTCTTTTTAAGCTTTCATGGGGGTAAAAGCAGTTCAAATAGCTATAGAAAAATGTAAATATTTAGAGCGAGGATTATTGTAGATGCCAGGAAAAACAAACATGGCTAATGGACCCCCCTACAATATAAAAATTATGAGTCCCTCCATCCCACTGGGCACAATTCATCCCTAAAAGACAGCAATTCCATCCATCTATAAGATCTTTCCAAAAATCCTTTGGTCCAGAACCATTAACACCTTGGGCATCGTGCCCACAATTTTTGAGGTGATTTTGACTGAAGGCTATGTACCGCCATCACCAGAAAGGTTAGTGACAGAGCATAAATTCTGGGTGAATTAAGCCCTAGTTGTCAAAACGGTGCCTGCTGCAAACAATCCAGGTGTGAAAATGAGACTAGCCTTATTTGCAACCTGTAGTTCTCTTAAAATAAAGAAATTGGTCAAAGGAGGCATCCAATTTAGTCATCTCCCATTTCAGCTCCTCACAATCCAGAGTTGTGGCTCCAATGCTGGTCCCTAAGAAAAGGACACCATCCTGCTTTAATCATTAACAGTATATTTGAAAAAGGTTAACAGCCATAATTTTAAAAACATCTAATTCCCCTCAGGGCCGAAGCAGCGTGGATTTTCAGTCAAAATGAAGCTGTTCTCCTTTTACAGATTAAAACATCCCCCTTTTGAATGAAAGGGAAGACGATTCAAAGAGCAGACTGTAGCAATCAGGAAGTGGGAAATGTTGTAACAACAAGACATTCAAGAAATTATCCAAGTGAAACAGAGGCGTCAAGCCAAGGATGTTCCATTTTTTAAAAAAAGGTACCGACAGAAGCTGCTATTTCAGTTCAGAGAACGACGTGATTGCAGCACCTTAATTTTTAATTCCATTGGGGTTCGTGTCCGAATTGCTCTTCTGAAAACGGGACACTTTTAATGCATCCACAGCCTTGGGGTTCAGGGTATGCCGTCTTTTCTCTGGCAGCACTGGGAAGGAGGCACGCTCCAGTCGTACACGTAAGAGAGTCTCAGTTTCGCCTCCTCCTTACAAAGCTTCCCCTCTTTGGCCAGAGTCTGGTGTTTTTCCAGCATGTCCTCCAGGCTCTGCTTGTGAGTCACAATGTACTTATTGTTGCAACCCCGCGACTTGTACTCGGTGTCAAAGCGGGGGTCGTGAATCCTCTTGACGTCCACCGGAGCCAGCCAGGCACCCAAGGAGACATCCTCGCTCTGCCAGAGGTTGAGGTAGTCCTGGCTCAAGCGAAGGTAGTGCACCAGGTCGGCCGAGATCACGTACCCGCCGCCCAGGGCGTAAGGCAGGTAGAAGTCACACAGGAGCCAGGCGTTTTCCTTCCACTTGCCCCCCGACTTCACCCGCCCGCGGCCCGAGAAGAAGCCCCAGTAGAGGCGGCGCGGCTCCTTGGACCGCAGCTCTTCGGCCAGGACGTCCAGGCGGACAAAGGTGTCGTCGTCGGCCTTCAGGACAAAGCGGAAGTCCAGGTGCTGGTCCAGCCAGACGTACATGGCCAAGACCTTGGCGGTCAGGTTCTCGTAGGAGTCCCGCAGGTCGGGCAAGAGGAGGAGGTCGTGGTGGCGGCTCTGCTCCAGCTCCAGGCTGTGCAGCTCCTCTCCAGTCAGCCCGCCGGTGCCCACCACGAAGCGGCACCACAGGTCGCTGCGGGGCACCCGGCCGGCCACCGAGAGCCAGGTGCTCCGGATGATGCTCCGCCGCTCCGTGTACTTGGGGCCACTGACCACCAGCACCGCCAGGAAGGTGGCCTCCTCTGGAGGGGGTGGAGGGGCGGCCGCAGGCGGGTGAGGACCCCCGAGGGCCCCTGGGCGGGCAGGGGGCTGCTGCTGGTGGGGCAGCCCCCAGCCCGGGGAGGACTTGAGGCCCTCCGAGGTGCACTTGGCCAGGTAGAGCAGCACCACCGCGAAGAGGGTGAGCCCCCCCAGCAGGGTCTTGTGGCGGCAGAGCAGGCGCACCAGCTTCATGGCCCCTCTGGTGGGCGGGGCAAGCGCCCGGCTTCTTCCCCCTTGGGGAGGTCCGGAGACAGGCTCCTCCCGCAGAAGGCGGGGCAATGCCTCGGGGCCGCCCTCTTCAGGCGCAGCCCCGCCTCCCCGCGGCAGCGATCCAATCCCTCGGCGGCTGTTCGCAACGCTGGGTGCCGATAGGTAGAGCGAGGTTAGTCCCCGCCCAGCCTTCTCGTGGGGGCGGGCCGCGGGCTTCGCCACGCCCCTCGGCCAGGCCCAGCCCTTCTTCAGCCCCGCCTCGTCCCCCTTCCCCCCCCGCCGCCCCTCCCCTCCCCTCCCCCTCCGGCAGTTCGGCCTCAGGTTTTGGCGGGAAGATTCTCCCCCTCCCCCGCGGCTACGGACGGCGGCTTGGGACACACCTCCTCAGTCCGCGCTCGAAGATGCCGCCGGGTGCCCGCTGGATCGTCTCCAGCGGAAGGTTCATTGTCTTGTCGCGGCTGCTTCGGGTCAGCCTTTGCCGGAGCGCTGCTCTCGCCCGCGGCGCATGCGCGCTCGGTCCCGACGCCAGGCCCTTCTGGAAGGCGAGGCGGCCGTCCTCGGCTGCTTCTGAGGCGGGGAGAGAAGGCGAAAGAGCGGGGTCTGCCTCTAGCGGAGGGGGGGGG